GTCTGGATATAGTGAACTAATTTTTGCATGGCCTGTTCACAGCATCCAGGTTGTTCACTATATTAGGGTTGATTTATTTTGTTCAAAAACTTATTTTATTTGCTCAAAATTCATGTTTGTGTATGTAAGTCTAACAGATATTTGGAATAAATTTATACTTAGGAAAATAGAAATGTACATATGAATGTTTATTGAAAGAACTCGCGAATAGATGTTTGCTTCATGTGTTCGGAAATTGACTTTTGCAATGCTTTTTCGCGTAGACTTTTCAATACTATTATGCCAGCATAGTCAGTAGTGTTGGCTTCGGCCCATGCGATAGCCTTATCGAAGCTTTTAATAGCTTCAGCAGCTTTTATAGGATTTCTCATCTGTGCTTCGCCTTGCTCATCATCACCAGATTCCGCAGTATCCTCGGCATCTTTCTCTAAATCAATTGGTTCGTCGTCTTCGATTGTATTCCACTTTTCGATATCATTATCAGTGTAGGTTTCCTAAAACAATCAAACTAAATGAACAGGTGAATGTCAAGAGGGTCAATAAAAATTACCTCCGGTATTACAACTTGCAGCAGATCCTGTATATCATGACTTCTTTACATTTTTCCTGCAATATTTTTTGGCGAAGTAAGCTCAAAGGAACATCATCGTCCTTATTCTCGCTTTCATTTGGCTCTGTAGCATTGAAGCATTCTAGTAAAGGCTTCCAACATTTCGCTACTACACTAGCCTGCAGCTGATTCCAAGCAAGCATTAAAAATTATACAGGATCTTTCAAAGTTAAAGTTTTTAAAAATTGTGTGATGTCATCTTTCCCTACAGCTAATAACAGCAGATGTTTTTTGTAGTACAGCTTAGTTAAGCGAATCACATTCTGATCCATAGGCTGAATCAAAGGTGTTACATTTGGAGGCATATAAACCACGAATATTGAGCCATCAGTAGTTTTAAGATCATCTTCTGGCGGATGGCTAGGGGCGTTATCAAGCTATAGGATGGCCTTGGTTGGTAAACCCTTTTTTAGCAAATACTTTTGAACCTAATAACAATTAAAAACGAAAAAATACTCTATAAGACTATAAGGAATTTTAGATGTATTATTCATGTACCTGAGGAACGAAGCATTGGTGAAACCATTCCCTGAAGATGTCTGCAGTCATCCATGCACTCTTAGAGTTCCGGTAGTCTACTGGGATGTCATACGCCTTAAAAGAGCGCGGCTTCTTGGCACGCCCAATTATTAACGGTTTGACTTTATGCTGTCCAGTGGCATTTGTATAAGCAAGAAAAGTAATTCTGGCCTTTTCGGATTTTCTCCCCGGAGCTGTTTTTTCGGTTTGGCTGATATACGTTCTGTCAGGAAGCATTTTCCAAAACAAACCGGTCTCGTCTGCGTTGTAAATTTGGTCCTCGCAAAGCTTTAATTCGTAAATAATATTTCTGAGTTTGTGCTTAAAGGGATCAATTGCCTGGGTATCTGGTGATAGTTTCTCGCTGCACACTTTTAACAATCGGATTCCAAAGCGAGATTTAAATCCAGATAACCAACCAGAGCAGGCATGAAAGCTACCTTCTACTTCCTTAAGGTCAGCGTGCAACTTTATTGCCTTTTCCTTAAGCATTTCTCCAGTAACTTGACAGTTTTTTTTGCGTTGCTCTATAAACCATTTGTATAACGCCTTCTCCATGCGGGGATACTCGCCTTTTCTAAGAGTCTACCGTTTAGATGCTCCAATCGTCTGGTATGATATAATATTACGACTATTTTTCTTTATTCCTGAAATTGTTGATTTAGCCACACCATACGTTTTTGCCAAAGATGAAACACCAGCTCTTTTTCCGATTTTTTCAACAATTTTAGATTTTCGCTTCAACGAAAGGAATTTCCTCGCAGGCATGATAACACTAAATTTATTAGCACCATATATGTAATACTTCTATATTGGCAGTTAGCTAACTTCTCAATGTGTAAGCATTCCGAAATCAAAGCGAGACAGTCTAGTACCGTTTTTGTCAATGTATTGTGTACTTGAGTGGCGTTTTTGTATATGTGTTGTGTACATGTTTATTTATAAACGTATGTGTTCCTTTTCTTTCGTACGTGTTTATTGATATATCTGTACTGTAGTGTTTTCGGACGGTACTAGCTCTTACTGCCAATATAGGAGTATTACATATATGATTAGCACACAAAAACTTTGAAAAACACATAAAACAGCGCACATCCACTCACAAGCGGCTGGAACCCGACAAGAAACAATAGCAGCAGCTCTTACAATAATAAACATAAGGTGGTAAATTTCGGGGAATACCCGTTTTCATTTCCGATTAGTTTTGGTGTTTTTTTTTGTAAATTTAAGCTTGCCGTTGCTTTTAAAATTTTGTTCACTATTTAGAGGCTTTCGATTGTTCACTATTTAGAGTACTCCGTGTAAATATTTCGGTGTTCACTATGTATCGAGGTGTTCACTATAGCGGGCGTTCACTATATAGAGACACGACTGTATATAGATAGTTAGATACCATTCGTAAAAAATTTCGCTTGCAGTAATTTCCACGTGTTAAGTGCTCCTTCATTATTTGGTTTCATAGGTATTCGGATACCTTCCTCATTGAAGTAGTAAAAAAATTCGCTTAAGTGCTTTGTTCGGTTAAGCGCACAAGTTTTTCGTGCAAAGAAGGATGGGCAGCTAAGCAAAATATACTGTAATGCGTTTTACCTATGGTCTTATTTCCACCTGTGAGATCTCTGCCAAGCGTGCGTAATATTCTTCTATGATTCTGCAACTTCAGCATTGGTCCGGTGTACCATGTAAGGCAATAAAAGTCCTTATACGGAAACTCAAGAGCACAGATGAGCGTTTTCAATTATAGGAGGGCCAAGAATCCCCGCTGCCCCACAGGATGAAAAGTTTTCGCGTACATTGGCTAAATGAGTCGTGTGATCTCATGAATATCGTTCAAATGAAGCCATTGATACACCTATCGTGTTCCTTCTTGGACAGATGTGGTCGAATATTTCCTTGT